CCCTTTGCTTGCCTGAGTCCAGTCAAGGATCCCCAATATTTCTTGTGATTCATATTTGTCCAGTCCCTGATTGCCTTTCTGGCAACTCTTATAGAGATGCCACAGGCTGGTTGAGGTCCTATGAATGGATGTTCAGCTCCAGTCTTGGCCAGTTGGTCTGCTGTTTTGTTTCCAGCAATACCCTCATGGCCCGGCACCCATATCAGTTGTACCCTGTTGTGTTTGGCCAGTTCCATGAGAGTTTGGTGGCAATCCCAGACCATTTTTGAGTTGATCTGGTGTTTGTCAAGCGCTTTAAGTGCAGCTTGGCTGTCAGATAGAATGTAGATGTTCCTAATGTAGTAGTTCCTATCTAGATTCTCCATAATGCATGCCTTAATGGCATATACTTCTGCCTGGAATACTGTCGTGTACTGCCCAAGGCTGAAACTAAGTCTCCGCCTCGTGCCATAGCAGAACACACCAACTCCAGTGCCCTTATTTATCTTAGAACCATCTGGATACCAGATCAGGCCCCCTTTTCTCTTGGGCCGAAACCCGTCTTCCCATTCACTCATGTCAGGAAATTTGACTGTGAAGGGTTTTACATATACATGTCTCAGTATCATTTTGTCAGACCCAATTTGTAATATTGGTTCATTTTTCATGTCCTGAGTCATGTATTCAGGTCCGAAACTATCGGATTTAGGTTTCCATTCATCGCTGCACTGGAGACGGTAGATTCCTGCCCTGGCCTCTGCCTCCAACTGTAGATGCAGTGGGGGGAGTCCAAGGAATGTCTCCAGTGCAACTGCTGGAGATGTTCGAATTGCTCCTGTGATACCCAAGCAAGCCAACCTTTTCAGTTTGCTAAGTTGTGCCCTGCTTGTCTTGAGTTTAACTGTGGGCCACCATACTGTGGCACCATATATAATTATGGGTCTTACAACCGCAGTGTATATCCAATGCACAACGTGAGGCTGCAGTCCCCAAATTTTACCATACATGCTTCTTCATGTGCAAAAAGCCTTATAGGCTTTATTGATGACCTTTTCCAGCTGCTTTTTCTATGTCAGTCCCTTGTCTAATACTAGACCAAGGTACTTGACATCGCTGGAGAGCTGGATCTTCTTATTGAAGAGGGGCGGTTCCTCAAGGCCCTTTATATTTCTGTTCCTGGTAAATGGTATAATTACCATATTATTAGGATTGATGGAAAGGAGTGTTCTTTCACACCACCGTTGGACTGTGTACAGAGCTGTTTGAAGATGCTCTGATCCTGTCGAAAGGAATTTTCCGTTTATGAGGATTGCTATGTCATCAGCATATCCCACTGTATAATACCCATCATCATTAAGTCCCCACAGGAGATCGTCAACGACCAGGCTCCACAGCAGAGGCAACAGCACACCCCCCTGCTGACACCCCGTAGACGCGGACGCCCCCAGGGTCTCTACTGATAGTGTGGCAGCTATGGTTCTGCTTTCCGGCGTCCTGTTTCACTATATCAAATGTAGTTCTATTGAACGCTCCCTCTATATCAAGGAATGCTCCTAAGGCAATATCCTTGTGTTCAATCGTACTTTCTATGCGTGTTACCACATTGTGTAGTGTGCTTTCAGTATATTTACCTGTTTGGTAGGCATGCTGGTTTCGATGTAGAGGATATGTCCTCAACGCTCTGTCCCTGATATGCCTATCCACTATTGTCTCCATCGTTTTCAAAAGGAAAGATGACAGGCTGATAGGACCATAAGCCTTAGCATTGGTGTAATCTAGTTTCCTGGGCTTTGGGATGAAAGTCACCTTAACTTGCCTCCATGCCATGGGGATAAAACCATATGCCATGCAGGCTCTATATATGCAACATAGGTGTGGAACTATGAGTTCTGCCCCATGCTGCAAAAGTGGCGGTACAATTCCATCTGTTCCCGCTGACTAAAATGGTCTAAAGGTATTCAGTGCCCATCTGATTTTTGATTGGTTAATTATGACTTTGGCCAGTTTCCAGTCTACCCTGTTTGTCTTGCTTTGGCAAGTGCCCAGGTTTTGCTGACCCTGTCCATCAGCCAAATTATCAATCAATTTTGAATCAGGAAAGTGAACCCTGAATACTTCATTCAGTGTCTCCCTTCCTGTTTGAGTATACTGCCCGTTAGGCAGCTTAATCATGCTGACCTTATTGGTCGCATGTTTTGCCATGATTCTCCTGAGTCTGGCACCGCCTGGTACATCACTGTTCTCCTGGCAGTACGTCCTCCACGAAGATCGTTTGGCTTGCTGATAGGTGACTGACCTGCTTATCCCCTTGCACTCGTCCATGTGACAACTGCTGCCTCCATGAGGCTGCCTGTCCTGAGTAGCTCCTAGATAGAGCACCAGTTTTTCCATGTGCACCATTGTCCTCTGTGCTGCAGGATGACACTGGACCTTGTAGACTACACTGTTGATATGGGTGTCAACCTTGTAAGGGCCTAGCCTGCATGGCAGCAGCTTAGGTGACTCTGCTGCAGTTCAGGTTGAGAAGTTCAGCCAGACCTGCTCTCCTTCCTAGACTCCAACAGAGTTGGATTCTAGGCAGTCATGATGAACCTTCATCCTGTTGCTGGCCACCTACAGATATCGACAAACTCCACCACATGGTTGTAGGTTGCCCTTATCAGAGTGAGCCCCAGGCAGTAGGTCTCAAGGCAGGCATAACTCCCTTCCAAATACCATGCTGGCAAGTGTCAAGGTTGTGGTCTTGTGGGTGGAGGCTCTGTAGGCAAGAAAATGAGTAGTGTCTGGTCCCAATCTAACTGGCTTATTGAAACAACCTTCCTTAGGTACTCCTCTACTGTCTTTACATAGTGTTTCACCATGCCTTATGACTGGGCACTGTGACTCTTCCTGCAAAAATCATGACTCAGAGCCTCCTGGGTAGGGACAGCGTGAACCTCTGATCACTTGGTAAAGTTGCCCTTGGCAATCAGGAGGTATCAGTTTCCCCTCTGGCTGTCTAGAAAGCATCCTGTTCTTTCAATGGAAATCCTCCAAAATTGTGCACCTATGTTATACTTCATTGTGCATGTGTCACATAGTTGGCACCACCTCTCAACATCAATTTTTGCATGTAGCTAATAGTACTGCTGCATGATTTTGTTGGCATCTATATCTCCTAAAAATCCTCCATATGGTTGTCCTTATTCTTGTATCACCCTGCTCTTGGGAAGGATTATTTGGGCTGCCCTTGACCTTTCCTTGACTGACTCCCAAAGATGCTCCAGCACACCATCTCTATCCATCATGGAGCCCAGTGATCATTGTAGGTTCAATTGTAGTTGGCAGTATCCTTCCACTTGCGATGCTGTTCATCCTGCATTTTCCATAGAACCTGTCTAATGTCATTGTTATCCAGTTACTCCCTCTTCAGGACACTATGGTCCTAGCCACCTGCGGCAACAATAGCAATAACTCGTACTTTACACCTTCCTGAATGCTGTCCAAGTTTCCAGGAGTGAACCCAGGTTTCAGGGTATGCTCGTCTACAAGGTCAGTCTTCACTAGTGTGCAACTATCTCAGTGATATTCAGCCCTCCTTGCCAGGGTTTCTTGTCATTGTTTACCCAGCAACTTCAGTTCTTAGTGGGTAGCCTTCAAACTTGGCCCTACTCAGCTGTTCACCACCTCCAGGAGACCCTTCAGCCACACATTCAACTCTCTCCCACATCAAACTGGTATTACATCGTTGCTGGTCATGGTCATGTCCAAGGATGCCCTAATGACACTTTTTCTTTGCCCAGTCATAGCACATGATGTCTAAAATCTACTGCCTCCATGTAGGCTCGCAGAATGTCCAGCCTGAGGATAAATTCATATGTGATATTTTCATGGAACATCCATGTACATAGTGTCCTCCTTTGTGCAGTAGACAGCAGGCCTCCTTCAAGACACAGAGGGCCCCTCCTCACACCGGCTTACAATGCATGGCCAACTTGGCTTCCTCTTGTGGTGCTGTCAAGTCTGGTAATGTTCACAGATGCCCCAGTGTCAGTGACCATGTGGCATCGCTTGTTCCCTATCCAGCCATTGGGGAATAGGCTGTCATCCCTCCTCAAGGCAGGCATGTTGAATGTGAAATGAGGGGATGAAGTGATAATGCTGGTGCCTTCATCATGTCATGCCTTACAAACTGGTCAGCTTCCTAACAGACAGATCTCTGTCGCCATTCTGTTCAGAGATGCCCGACATCTTGACAGTGCCAGCATATGGATCATCCAGTTTTGCATTCTTTGGTTGCTGATGACCATGTTATCATGGAGGCTCCAGCCTTTGTCTCCTATGACTTTGTTGGTGGTTTGGCTGCTGATTTCACAGACTCACAAGGAATCTGGCCTAAACCATTGCCACAATGTCCTTTGGCTGCCTGTGTCATGTATCTGCTATAGTTTCTTTGAATTCACTCTGGGCAGCCTTTATGTCAAACTTCTTGTTGATGTTTGTTCCACCTGGTGCTTTCATCCTTTTTAAGTTGATGGTAGACAGCCACTTTGCCTTGGCTGGCATTTAACTTATTGTATTTAGTTGCATCAGAATTGCTTGTAAGTTGGATCCCTTTTCAATCTGACATCCATTACCAGTTGTAACATTTATCTTGTTCTGGAGCACGTATTTGCAGTTTGTCATGTTCCTGACATCTGTTTGTTCTTATTCGCTGCTGTTCTCCTGAACACCAGTGCGTTGTCTTCTTGGAGCCATCTCATCAATGTCAACTTGTTGCACTGTTTTACCATGCACAGACTCTTCACAGTGCTTCTAAGCACAGACTCAATTGTACTGGCTAATTACACATGCTTATATAATGGGACAGTCTGTTCCTGAACCTTTGCACAAGATCTCAGTCTCCTCAGCGTCCATCATGTGTACACTTAAAGATAAATGTAAAATAATTTATACAAGAAGGAAAAATAATAAACTCTTAAATTTCTTTTGTTCTATGCAATAAGTGATTTTCAATTTTTATTGTTTTAATCACTGTCTAGGACGTTCTGAAGCTGATTAAAAGTTCCAATCTTTACCCTGACATTGTCACATTTGGAGTTTTGGCTCTGGGTTGCCAAACTAAACAAGAAGCTCAGTGTTTGCTGACAGATATGAGAGATGCAGGATTCAGGTATGATATCAATAAGGTGTTTGAGATCATGTCAGAACTTCCATGGATGTATTTACTATACAGGAATATGCATGTGAATACCCTCGTACTCGTACATCTGTATTCAGAGAATGCAGAGGGACACTTCATCATTGATGTGTTGTTTTGTTGGTTATATCAAGTGTCCTTTTGCGTTCTCTATATTCAGAGAATGAAAAGAGATGCTTGATATGCACAGTCCAGAATGTAACACAGCAATGAAATACAGAGTCGGCTGGATTTTAAAAAAGATATGAAGAAGAAAACACCAATGACATAATGAAAAGAATGATATCTTATTAGTATGCAACGCATTGGACTTCTTATAAAAGTGTTGCATGAAGATGGCCTTATAAGGCCGAAACCTGCAGCATTGTGATAATGCATATTCTTATACTTTAATAATTTTAATAACATTTTTTATACATAACGACCACTGTATGGATTAAGTGTGAATCAGTGTTGTTAATTGTTTCATTATAGATGGAAACAGTAGACTATAAATGACAGATCATTTATGCCTGATTTTATTCCCCTGTGGTGAATGTAAGTGGACCGAAGTCACTGTTGTGTGTGTGTCCCATATATGTCATGATTCTAACACAACAGGATGCAAAGAATAAAGATAAAAATAAAGAGGTGGACTGATGTCTTCAAGATAGAGTGTAGTATGAAATTCTACCTGCCCTGAATATATATCTCTTGTAGCTCCTTGTAGTGCACCCATAATATTGTCACGTTTTTCAGTTACTAAAGATGGGGTTTGGATTGGTAAATTGATTCATTTGACACTCACAAGTCCTAGGTAGAAGTAATTTTAACACTCAAGATTACTATAACTACATAACACATAATGTCTTCGATGTCTGTTAACACTTCACTGCTGAATCCTCACAACTCCTTTCCATGATGACTTCATATATCATTTACTCACGGCTTCTCAGCTACGACTGCCCAAAAACAACCTTTGTTGTCCCCCTGTAAACCTATGCCATGGACCTACAGAATACATATCACGTGCTTGCTAGCATTATTGTGGTGTGACGTTATTGCACATGTGCAAGCTGCACGGATACAAAGAAAACACTAACAGTGCTAGAAGGTTTATTTTCCATCTTGGAAGGGGCAACCCCTCCTCAAGGTCCTATTCTTGATTGTTCATAGCCCAACAGTAGATCTCGCAATTTGTTTCATGATCTCCAGCCCTGTGATCTTCCTGAGAGATTTCCTATGCTTTCCTGTCATAGCTTTTTCAGGTCTCATTTCTTCAGATATCATGGCTGTCCACCACCTAGGTCCTTTACTCTCTGCATCCCTTGCTGAGTCTAGGCCCTGGTCCACTTATTCCTGATGAAGTTCCTCTTTCGCCATGCCACTCTTGCACAGTAGGACACCTTCCTGCAGGCGCAGCCAAATTCCCCTGGAATCCACAGTTTCCTTGGGCAATACCTTGGGCTTTCCATGGTGCCCTGCAGCTGGATGACAGCCCTTGTGCTGCTTCTTTATTGATCCAGAAGTTTTCGCTGCGTCTTCTTCCTTGGGGATCTCCTGATGCTCTGCATCAGATTGCATGTCCACTTTTTTGGTTTCTGTGGCTCAAGAGTTCTTGCATGGAATAAATAATGGAATAAATATTTGGTTTGCTCATACCATAGGCTGCTGCCCTGCTGTTCTCATGTCACTCTCTAACCATCCGTTTCTCAGCCTAAAGTCAGTTCATGTTCGCAACATTATTCATGGTGAAACACAAGTGATTAATAGAGTGCCACAAGAAGACTGATAATAAGTACTAATTTATATAGCTGTTTTATTCTCTTATTTCCTAAGTTGAGCCTGGCTGTTGAACCGATATTGTCTGTCTCATTTAGCCAAGATGTGGAAGATTGTAGCAGTGCAATATTTGCTTTACACTTGCTTTACGAAACTGACTCCAGTATCTACATGAACTTTTCAGTGTTCAGAAGCCAATTGCTTTTGATATTAATTCTTATCATTATAACTCTTATGCCACCCAGAAGCAGATCAATGTAATTGTTATATGTGTGACTCACATGCAGTTTTTTCTAATACCCTGCAAGTATTTCCCCCCCCCCATGTCATCTTACAGCGAAAATCAGGAGAGCAGGCAGTGGAATAATGTACACATCCAAATCTGTATGCAGTAAAATTTATCGCTGAGGTCAGGAATACGTGGATCTATACATCCATTCCTCTGTATGCCTTCATTTTGTGTTGCTTAATTAGCTAATCACAGGGACGACTTTACTTTACTTCATTTTGCTTTACCTTCCTTTACTTCCTCCCACCCCTTACCTTCAATTTACATACCACTGAGCGGCCTCCGTGGGCTAGGGGTAACGTTCCCACCTCATGACTCAAGGTACGCAGGTTCAAACCCGGCGGAGGTCATGGAATTTTTAAGGGCAGAAAAATTCATGGAACAAGTCCTCCGGGAGGGACTTTAAGCCGTGTGTCCCGTGTCAAAGATTTATGCCACGTAAAAGAACCTCGTGTCTTTAGGAGACCTCTGAGCTAAATTAGAGGCCCTGTCCCGCCCAAGTAGTCTCCAGTGCCTCTGGTAGATGGAGGAAGCATCAAGGTACTGGGGGCCGACCTCGTTGGCTCTAGGAGGGCTGATGGCATGCACCGTTACCGGTAGGGTATGGCGACAGAAATTAAAAGGGGGACGCACAGTGGACCAATAACTGGTCTGTGCATGCGGAAACCCACCCCCTCTCATAATACATGCATACATACCATTGCATCCTAACACAGTCGTGGGTATTTAAATACTGTCCAGGTTCAACATCACACCAGTTATATACCAGACACGTGATTTGTATATGTTAGGACTATAATCTATACTGCACTCTATCTCTTCTTCAGAAGCATCATGTACAGGCCATGCATTTAGACCTGGCCTCTGGGTTTCACATGAGAAATTCAAAGTATGGCAAGGACCAGCAGGACATTGGTTGCAACTTTATTCTGAGAGGGAGGAAGGGTGTGTATCTCTGGCTGTGTCATAACTCACACACACCCTACAGTCCTTACATCATTTGTGGACTTATCCAAAGTCACTGTACATTCTGTTAAGAAAGGCCAGGTCACAGATGCAGATAGCATTGTAAATTCTGGTTAAGAAATTTAAGAGCTAATTTCTTGGAGATGAAACGTATGTCAGAGAAGTTAATCCAATTTATCCCCATGAAAGCAATTAACCTTGATGAATATGATGGTTGTAGTCATCCTTCAATTGTTGGTAACACCTCATTTTCTTTGTCATACTATGGTATTGGAACTTTCCGAAATGTAAAGTAATGTATACCAGATGGTGGACCAGTGGAACATATGTTTGGCAGTGAATTATCTTTAAGAACACTGATGAGACATCACAGGATAAATTTACCAAGACTTATTTTTTTATTTAAAATCGCCTGATACCTGGTATAGGAAGTAGCAATTTCTACTTAATCTCCACAGATCATTCTGATATCAAGAATGAACAAGTCCTCAGTGCACTGTGGAGAACTAGAGCATATAGAAGTTGAGCCATGTTAGAAGAAGACAGAAGGTGATATTTAGGATTTGACATACAAGGTGGTTCAAATATGACCGGGACTGATTTTTTTTTTTTAAACCAAAATTGCCAAACACTTACTTGCACATGTCAGTCTTCAGCGTACTCCCCTCCGGAGTCAGCACATTTTTTCCAACATTCTGGAGGCATCCTGATGCCCTTTTCAAAAAAGTTTTGTGGTTGGCGGCATATCCACTCCCGAACATTCTGGATGACGGCGTCATTGTCCACAAACCGCATGCCTTGCAAGTCTGATTTGAGCCTTCTGAATAGGTAGAAATCACTTGGTGCCAAATTGGGACTGTACGGCGAATGTGTCAGAAGGTTCCATTTCAATTTCCGGAGGGTTTCCATTGTTGTTTTGGCCGTATGGGGCTTGCATTGTCTTGAAGGAAGGCTACCCGCTTTCCACCTCTCTTCCGCTTTGATTGGATCTTTTCCTTCACGTCTGTTGCCAGGAGGTCTGAGTAATAAGCTGCATTGACTGTTCTGGCATCTGTCAGAAATTCTACATGGATAACCCCCTGCCAGTCCCAGAAGAACGTTGCCATCAGTTTTCCTGCCGAACGGCTCCTCCGCACACTCTTGGGTTTGGGAGAACTGGTATGCCGCTACTCGTGTGATGATTGCTGGGACTCGGGAATGAAGTAGTACACCCACGTTTCATCGTTGGTCACTATAGACTTCAAAAATGCATCACCGTCATCTTCAAACTGCTGTAGGAGACGACTGGCAACTTGCATGCGCACCATTTTGTTCATGTCCGTCAAAGTGTGTGGTACCCACCGTGCATTCACCTTGCGATAGTGCAAGTGGTATTTCATGATGTCTTCTACACTACCAACACTGATGGACAGCATTGCTCCAAGTTCCTTGAGAGTGATGCGCCTATTCTCATGAATAAGTGTGTCTGCACAATCAGTGTTTGGCTCGGTGATGGGTGTTCGTGGTCGACGATCATGTGGTTCATTCTTCACGCACTCCCTGCCCTCTCTGAAGCACTTACAGCACTCAAAGACACGGGTCCGTGAGAGACACTCTTCCCCATACTGTTGTTGGAGTCTGTGGTGAATTTCAGCGGACAGGACGTTTTCTCCAATGAGGAATTTGATCACAATTCGTTGTTCCATGCTCCGCAGTACCTTCTGTTCACTCATCACTCTAGCAATTTCCAGACAGGACTGAATAGGTTCTAACCCTAACAGGAGGGAAGGTGGAGGTTGTGGCTTCACTCTCTCAAGGTCGCACAGCTGCTGCGCAGTACGGTCATATTTGAACCACCTAGTATATTATATGATCAGTCAGTAACTTGCATATATTGCATATTCAGTTGTCTTTATATTACAAATATTATTTTGTATGTTGAGGATCTCATAGCATTGTCTGGAAGAGTTCTACCTGCTGGGATCTAATACTCTATAGTCTGGTGAAAGTCTGCTGACATTTCTGAGGATCATATCGCTCCATGTTTATGATCAAAGACTAAGCCAAACAGCTGTGCTTGCTGCCTGCTTCCTGCTTGGCTTATTCCTCAACCCTGAAAATGGAGGTAATACATTCCTCTGACTGTCACCATTATATCCCAGCAGACAGAAGTTACATTCATAAAACCCTGAAATAAGAACGTGCACAAGATTATGCTTACAGTACCATACTCTGAAGTTCCTTCACTGTCCTGAAGGTACAAGCAAATGTTTAACAATAACAGTGTGTCATTTAAGTGCATGAAATATACATTGTCTCTTCAGCAGTGAAAGACTAAAGTGTAAGTGTACAGGAATAATGAATTAGCAGCTAGTCATGGTATATGCATGGTGAAATTGTAGAAGATAGTTGTAACTTTACAGTGAGGGTTGTTATGAAGAAGGCCAATTGATTTTGGTATTCAGTTTCAGTAGGCCAGACCTTTACTCACTGGAAGGTCATCATGATTATGGCACTGTGTGTAACAGACTTTCATGAAATACAGAATTGGAATTAGTGGCCAAATTAAAATTTTGTGCATACTGTACAATATAGACTGTATTCCAAATGATGGGCAGATTTGTCTCACTAATATTGCCAGGCTGACCCCCCCCCCCAATCATAGACCAACAGTATATATTGCAGAGAGGAGGAAAAGGTGGCCATGTGGTCACGGGCACATATTATCTCAGACTGCTTGAACACTGGGATCATGGGTTCAAATCCTGCTTGCTGTTTTTTTTTTTTTCCTCCTGTTTGTGTTGCATGTCAGTAGAGGCCTCGCAGATGGCCAGTCACATGTTGAAGGACTTCTACCAATTTTCAATATGATTCGTAATTTCAGAAGCTAATTCAGGATTTGAAAAGATCAAAGGACAAAATCCGTAAATGTTGAAGTAAGAGAGATACAATCAGTATTCATTCTAAAGTGTGTGGCAGATTGAAACGAAACTATCAGTGATTGCTCTAAGAGTGGTTTAAAGAGCATCAGCATAGATACAGCATTTATATTATCCATATTAAATGTAGAAATGAGTAATGAATACTTCCCATTAGAGATCATATTTGTCTCCAATCTGATTCAATCAGAAACAAACAACTATAACAAGAAGACTGTAATAAATTAAGGTGATATACCCTCCAGTGGCAATGATGTCAGTACTAAGTTTCATGGAAATCCGGCCATTGGTTCAACAGTTGGGAGTGACGAGGTATCAGCCATGAGCATGATACATCACCGTAAGCCTGTCCTTGTAGAAAAAAAAGAAATATCACATCTAGCAAGAATTGAAAATGTGATTATATCTGGTCAGAATACTAATGTAACACCTCTGTTTTCGTTTGCTAACATGTGATTCAATAACTGTTGGAATGATTCACAGGATGAATGCAGAAATTCTGGGTGCCATGCTGAAGCAGGGCTGTTGTCATTTTAATTTTGAATACATATTAACGATAATGGAGACAGCATTGCAAGAGGAGGTGCGCCCAAATGAAAAGTTCCTGGAACATTTGGAAAACTTCCTTAAAGAATGTCAGAAGAAGATAAGAAATAAGGTATATCACATCACTGTTAATAACTTGTAACACCATGTACACCACAGACCCGCAACCTGCAGCGTATAGTGACTGGCTATAGGCTGGACAACTGAGGGGTCAGAGTTCAAGTCCCAGTAGGGTCAAGAATGTTCTCTTCTCCAAATCGTCCAGACCTGCTCTGGGGTCCACCCAACCTCTTATCCAATGGGTACCAAGGGGTCTTTCTTCGGTGGTAAAGTGGCAGGGGCGTGAAGGTGACCATTCACCTCCAGCTAGTGCTGAGGTCAAGAAAACATGGATCTATACATCCACTCCCCCATGCACCTTCATGCTTAATTCATTGAGCACAGGGACAACTTTACTTTTGATTAGTAGACAAAATACACGTTTGGTTTGTAGTTAAAGTAACATGAAAACTCTGAAAAAAGAACAAGAAATTCTCTTTCCTTAATGAAACACAACACAGGAGGTGAGAAAATGAAATAAAATGCCAGAATATTCTGTAGTCTCAAGTCAGAAGACAGAGTAAGAGTACTGTTCTTTTAACGCTTTTGAGTCCTGGCTGTTAATAAAATACCCTGGTGCCTGGACATATGTAACAAGTAATTGAAAATGGTTATAGTAGAAGGCCAATGTAATGAGTATGGGCCTATAATGAGAAGTTTGTTTTAATGCAAATTTTTTAGTTACTGTTAATATAATATTATTAAACTTAACAACACCCTTTTGTTTGAATGAGTGCAAACCCCCCCCCAAATATTTGCTGTCATGATTGCTTTTCTCTGTTTACATGTTTGATAACAGCCTGAAACCTAATTTCTATTCTTGGAGAATGGGTGAGGTGACAATAAAAGCCTTCATAGAATTTGAGGTTTCACATTGGTGGTTTTGTGATATACAAGTAACATCGTCTTGTCTGGTGAATGTCAGCTGACATTTTGGAGGAACATGTTCCATCTTCAAGGTTGAGGAGTAAATCATGCATGAAGCTAGCAGTGCTCCTTGTGGCCTTCTTCATGTTTCTTTCATACTATGTTTACTCTTTAACCCTGAAGATGCAGGCGGCATATTTCCCTGGAATATTGATTGACTTTCACCAGACTATGCAGCATTATGTCCTGGAAGGAGGAACTTAGTAAGAGCCTTTGTCCCCAGCACAATACATGAATAGGAGTACAGCTTTCAGTGCATCACAGGAAGTAACAAAGAAAATATATTTATTTTTCCACCATGGAAGCATATGACTTTGTGCATTTTTACTACTTTCCACTGTGTAGGACCATCCTGAGCTGCTTCATGCCCCTCTGGACCCTAAAACAATATTACATTAATTTGGACAGAGTTGCATATGAGCAATTTCATATGGTAGGTTGATGCATAGAGGGTTGAAGTAGGCCAGTTTACTAACCAGCTTGGTGTATTAAAATAATCATATACTGCGATTTCATGTACAGGAGGCATACTGCCTGCACATCAAATTCTTCCTACCACTCTGCTACTTCCCCTCACCCACTCTTAGTCCGTATTTATATGTTTATATGGGTCAAGTCCCTGAATTTACACAGAAAGCGTTTCATTCAGTATCCTATAGTGGGATGTAACTGTGATATTTGCATATGGAGAACTGCAACTGAAAGGAGCTCACAGATTTAGTTTGACCAGTGACTTTGAAAGGCGTTTACTAGCTCAACATAAATAGAACTCAAACATAACACATCACATATTACAGATAAGACAAACACGTTCAGCTCAAGGACACAAAAATTAAAGCAGGTGGTTAACCCACATAACCAGATGTAATCTGAGACAACCACAAAAGAGAAACAAAACAGCTTTACAATGAGCAGCATTTTCCTTAATCACAACAACTGGTACACCTGAAGATGGCTGGTTAGGCCGAAACATGTAGTGTCAATGAAGAGAAATGATGAGTGAATAGTAACTGTAGTTGCACACAGACGGCATAAAGCAAAATTCAGTGAAACAGGATGTTACCATATAACATTAAAAAAACAAAACAATCCATGCCATCAGTCCTATATATTACTTCATTGTCTCACTACTTTTAATATACTGTCACGTGTTCAGTGTTCTGTGACAAATAATTACTGGGTTACAGATTTGATGAAGCTGTTTATTGGACAACTTGTCCACGAATACAATTCCAATCACTACAATCACTCTTGACATAACTTCTTTCATGCAATGCGACCTGACTAGCCCATTGTCTCTGATCAACTGATCTGACTGCTGCAATGTACCCTCTTAATGTAGATTTTTGTGTACTGCTGAGAGAACACCTAGGCAGTGGTCTGCCTATATATTCGTTGCCACTGAAGTATGTGTTCTTATTGTAGCCATTGCATAGCAATTGTGTCATATCCAGCTTTTAGGCACCACACCACATTGCTCCTTCCTTAAGGCTGTTCGTCCCAAACAGCCTAATGGTTTATCACCATTCTTTCCTTTTTTGGGGTTTTCATTGTCCCAGGTTCTTCCTCTTTCTTTCCCCCTCCCCCCCCCATGCCTTGGTCTTTCCAGTGGTCTCTTTCCTTCTGGCTTTCCCCTCCAATATCCTATATGCTTTCCTTTTTTCACCATTCGTGCTACATGCCATGCCCACCTCATCCTCCTTGACTTGATCATTCTAATTATACTTGGAGAAGAATAAAAGTTATAAAGCTCCTCATTATTCAGTTTTCTCCAACCTCCTGTCACTTCATTCCTCTTTGGTCCAAATATTCTCCTCAACACCGTCTCCTCAGACACTCTCAATCTCTGTTCCTCCCTTAATGTCAGAGACCATGTTTCACACCCACACAGAACCACAGGCAAAATTATAGTTTTGTACGAGGGTGTACCCAAAAGAAACCGAACTTATTTTTTTTAAGCTTATTTATTCAAGTTTTAAGCACAAACCTTCAATCCCCTTCAAAGTACTCTCCACTTACACTAATACACTTGTCTAGTCTTTTATTCCATTTTTCAAAACATTGTCTAAATTCATCTTTTGAGATGCTTGACAGTGCCTCCATCGTTTCTTCCTTCACCTCAGCAACATCAGCAAAACGCTTTCCTTTCATGTCTCTTTTCATTCGAGGAAACAAAAAGTCGCACGGGGCAAGGTCGGGTGAGTATGGAGGGTGAGGAACAGGGGTCATACCATTTTTGGTCAAGAATTGTCGTACAGACAGGGCTGTGTGAGCAGGGGCATTGTCATGATGGAAAAACCAGTCACCCGACTGCCACAAATCTGTCCACTTCCGCCGCAAACTGTTGCGCAATCTTTTCAAAACTTCCAAGTAGAAAGCCTGGTTAACTGTCTGACCCTGCAGAACAAACTCTGAATGGACGACTCCTCTCACATCGAAAAAACAAATCAGCATTGTTGCTTTGATTCAGGATCGTAAGCATAGCACCAGGTTTCGTCACCGGTGATAATTTTTGAAAAAAAGTTTTGATCATTTCGGGACTCTTCTTTCAAAGCAGAGCATGCTTCCACGCGACCTTGTTTTTGTTCAGCAGTCAGCAGTCGTGGCACGAATTTCGCAGCCAGCCTTTTCATTCGCAAATCTTCTGTCAAAATTTGCTGAACTGAGCTCCAAGTCACTCCCGACAGCTCCACAATTTCTTCAGTGGTCCGTCGTCGATCTTCCTTGATGATTTCACGAATTTTTTCAACATTTTCATGTGTTTGGGCCGTGGAAGGACGACCAGAACGAGGTTTGTCATCAATTGACATTTCACCATTTTTGAAATGGGAAAACCACTCAAACACTTGAGTTTTCCCCATAGTATCATCCTTGTACGCCGTTTTTAACATTTCAAGAGTTTCTGTTCCACTTTTCCCGAGCAAAAAGCAGAATTTCACCGCCGCACGCTGTTCACGAAAATCAGCCATTGCAAAAATGAGAATCACACAAAACAGTTGTCACTATAAACTCTGCCGAAACTAGTCCTTACCTTCTGAAGCAATGGTAGTCGGTTTATCGACTCAGGAATGTTAGCTCTATGCGCTCATAGCGGCAAAACGCAGTACTACAAAAGCTCTGCCCACAAAAAAAATAGTTCGTTTTCTTTTGGGGACCCCATCGTCTATTCTAATTTTCATGTCTTTAGAAAGCAGACAAGAAGACAAAAGGTTCTGGACTGAATGGAAGCAAGCTTTACCCAAGTTCAGTCTCCTCTTAATTTCCTCCTGAATCAGATTTTGATTTGTCATCGTCGTTCCAAAATATCTGAATTCTACCACATTTCCGAAACATCTGTTTCCTATCTTTGTGTCATGATTATACTCTGCATTTTGTTGGCGAGACAGCGACATATACTTAGTTTCCTCTGTGTTTACCTCTAGCCCAACCTCCTTACTTGTGTCAGTTAAAGTTTGTGTGTTTTTCTTTATGGTATCTACATTATCACCCAGTAGATTCACATCATCGGCGTAGACCAACAGCTGATGTGTCCCATTTAATTTCAGTCCCACCTGGTTTTCCTAGACCTTGCTAATGGCATATTCTAATGCAAGGGTGAAAAGGAATGGCGATAAAACATCTTCTTGTCTTAGACCATTCTGGATAGGAAATTTATCAGACAAATATTTACCTATACTGACTTTACTGTAAGTTTCTTTTAAACACATTTTAATCAGCTTAACTAGTTTCATGGGTATCACAATCTCTATCAGAATATTGTACAATACTTCCCTCCTAACTGAATCATAGGCTTTCTTGAAGTTTACAATTAACTGAGGTACTCTTTCATTGTACTCACATTTTTTCTCCCATATCTGATGAATGCAAAACGTCTGAGCTGTAGTTGACCTGTTATGTCAAAACCCACACTGATGATCCCCAATAATTCCATCAATGTATGGACCTAACCTTGAGAGAAGTTTTATCACCCTTCTTGTGAACTGGTACAATAAAAGATTCCTTCCACTGGTGAGGCAATTTTTTCACATGCCAAATAGAAGTAATTAGCTTATGGATCTTAGAATGTAATATTTCGCCTCCTGCATGAATAAGTTCTGCCAGAATTTGATCACTGCCTGGCAATTTATATTGTTTCAATTTTGCAATAGCAATTTCAAACTCAGAAGGGCTGGGATCAGTTATTAACGGCTCAGCTCTGTGCATTTCTATCTGCCTAATGTCACTGACCCTATGTACATTCAATAACAGAGAAGTAGTTCTTCCACATATTCAAAATGTTGTGAGAATCTACAAGCAGATCACCATTCTCATCCTTCACTAAGTTACTGCTAGGTTGGCAGCCCCCCTTAAAATTCATTTAATCTGAATGTTGTAAGAATCTGCAAGCAGATCACCATTCTCATCCTTCACTAAATTGCTGCTAGGTTGGCAGCCCCCCTTAAAATTAATTTATTCCTCAATACAGGTCTCTAATGTTTTTGTTCTTACTGTTCATTGCAAGCTCATCAGTTTTTTCTTTCAGATATTCCCTCATTTTATTCCTGAAATGCCTGCTGGTTTCGCATCTTATAATATTATATTTGAGCATCCTGTTACACTCGCACAATATATGTAAGATAAACACCGTCTTAAGTGTAACAATTTAATTTAGTTCTTTCTTCTAAAATTAAATTAAACTAAATTAAATTGTTACACTTAAGACGGTGTTTATCTTACATATATCGCATCTTATATTGTTCAGATTATCCCCATTTAACTAGCTTGGATCCTGTAACCATTGCAATTTGGCCTGCTTTCTTTGATCTAGTAATTTTGAGCATCCTTCATCGAACCATGGCTTATGCTTCTTCAGTTCATAATAACCTAGACTCTCCTTGGCAGAAATTTTGATATTCTCTCTAATAATTTCCCAAGCTTTATTAATATCCACCTCAGTGTCCAAGTTTCCCAAGGCCACGAACCTATTGGAGATTTCAACATGATACTGCTCTTTACCCTCTACCTTGTTCAATTTTTTGAGATTGGACCTTTCCATATGAACTCTGTGCTTTGTTTGCTCACTGGCAGTCTTTCTCTAACCTTTGCCACCACCAGGTAGTGGTATCACGATCTGCTGCCCTGAATGATTGGACATCAAGTTTCCTTGAATGCCGTCTCCTGCCTATGAAAATATGGTCGATCTGATTGTGTATCATCCCATCATGAGCGGTAGAAATAAATTTATGGATGTTATGATGCATTAACATTGTACTTTTGACAGTAAGATTTTCTGATGTGGCAAAGTTTACTACTCTAACTCCATTATCAATACTAATTCCTTGCAAACTCTAATTTCCAATCTTTGGCTTGAAAAGTCTTCCCTCCCTACTTTGGCATTGAAATCTCCTAACAAAATTTTCATAGGGTAGTTTGGGAATTTATCAAATATCTGTTCTAGTTCTGAATATAACCTGTCCTTTATATCATCAATTTTATCTTCTGTTGGGTCGGCGACATTCATAACAATGATATCACACCAGTGACGTTTTAGTATTATATATGATGTCCTATCACTAACGAACTCGACCCTCTTAACTGCTGATACGATTCTCTTATGTACAAAGAAACCTGTACCTAATTCATGATTTTCATTCCCCTTTCCATAGAAAAATGTATATTTGCCTCCTGGTGCAATGCCATCTCAGTCCCATCTGACCTGTACCCCCGCTAAATCTAATTTATATATTAAAATTTCTTCTGCCACTGCCCTGAGCGAACCTCCATGTTAGGTGGGTCCCTGTCACCACGGCATGGCGCATCCTCAGGTTGCAGATGGAGGACATGCCCTCCAGGTTTGGAGGGAAGCAGCGAATATATTGAATAAGCAGTCACAGACAGCCGACAAGGGGTGGTCCTCCAGCTTTTGTTTTTTTGCATGGGGCTAACAACTCACCATAAAAAATGAACTCGTTACAAAAACGCTCAAGAAACCTTGGACCTTGGTTTTCACTACAGTTGTTAAATTTGAAATGTGTGAGAAAACTGAAACGTTTACATTTTCTGTAGAGTGGCACCATTATCTGCAAGAAAATGGCAGGAGAAATTTATCCTGTGCTAAAATCTCTGGTGATCATCCATGTCAGTGTTGAAGTAAAAACCATCATTTCAGGGATCTCCTCAGTCTTCATTGTCAGGGTCAGTGTGGTGAATGATCATACGTCACTGATATTTATGCCAGTTTGTCAAATTGATGCCTCTTCCTATTGGCATGCTATGCAGTCTGAAGGTTGAGTCATACTGTGTGGTTACCCATCTGACTAACATATCACCATGTTGCTTAACCTGGTGTTCCTGTTGTCGTCTTGTTTTCTTTTTAGCATGCCCTATGCTGTGTCATCTTTGAATTTTGGTGATGTTTGTGTATTAATAAACTGGTGCCGGGATTCCATGCTTTGCTGAATTTGAACCCTTGAATGAATGAAAATGTATGAGGGGTAGGCCTCCTCGGCCCTTGCACCGTGACCTACAGTGGTCTGTTGTGCTTAATTTAAATCTTTACTCTGTGTTTATATTGCTGGGTGTAATTTTCTATGATGGCTTCAATTCCTGCAGAAATGTATCCTCCTTATCTAAATTTAAAAGCAGCCATATAACAGTTACTCATGCTATCCTGTTATGTTAACAGGGTACTGAACTGCCACAAATTCACAAAACTGCTGGGAGAAATTACTTTCAGAAAAGTTTTCAAAAGTTCTGTAGTCGATACACCTCGTGGTTGGAAGAAATCATTCCTGAGAAACTGGGACATCCTTGGGAACAATTTCAGAAGAATTACAGCCAGATAAGAGCACTGAAAAGGAGACAAATGGACCCAGAGATGAAGCAAAATGAGAAATAAATGATCTTAGTTCTTTGTGTTTGCAAAATTTGTGTAATGTTTGAAAACTGATGTGCTGTTATGGTGGTATCATGCTGTCCATGAAGTGTTGTGCAAGTAAACAGTTTAAAGAAAATACCTGTTAAATGGTGAAAAACATTGCAAACAAATAAAAGAAAGAACTGAAAGTTTCCACTCATTTAACATTTTAATCCTTTAAATTTTTTTCTTTCAACAATTCAATTTGTACCACATAGGAAGCATGTTATGTCTCTGCTGCAAAGCTCAGGTGACTAATGTTCTTTATAGAATACCATCTTCTGGGATGTGGTGTCATGTATATTGTTTGTGAAGTGACATATCAGACGCTGCAGCCACCTACTCACACTGGTTCCTCGCTTGTTGAGGGAGCACGTTCCTCCGAAACATTGGTTCACACAAGGTCTCCACAGCACCACATCCCAGAAGGCGGCATTCTTTATAGTCACTGCTGTTGAAATCTCAAATCTTACATAATTTCTATTTACTGTGATAACCATAAGAAAGACACAAATACACTCTTTTGGCAGAATGCAGAACTCCAGTATCTTGTAACAGGTGGTACATATAGAACTGCTGGGCTTCACATCTTAAGTACAGAAAACCTTCATCCTAATTATGTGTTAAATTTCTTCCATTTAATATTTTCCTCAGTTTGGTATTAAATCACATATCCAGAGTAGAAATACAAATAATTTCATTGTGTTCTACAGAATTACCACCACATTTTCCAACACACTTAGATGTCACAAACTTGCAAGTAAAAAGCAAACAGCTTTTAGAAATGTGTTATAAAGGACAACTTTTAATTTAAGAACTTCTTATATTCCTTTTACTGTTGTATGTACCATACTATTACAGTAAAGAATATATTCTCTAGAACCTCACATATTTCAGCAGGTCTTACATACCTGCACCATATTTAGATCATGATCATGTGTAGTTTATGATTCAACTTTTCAAACTACAGGATGTTCCAGATGAAGATCTCCATATCAGTGAGTCACATTTTGTGTCTTTGTCATTTCATGGTTCAAAGGAGCTTCAAAACATTGCTTTCAAACAACCATGTATGTTCATGACATAAGATGTTAATAATCCTTTTATATGACAAAGACAAACTGGAATGGAGGACGGGAGCTGTTCTTTCAGGACTAAGCCTCATAGAATATTGAAGGTTTTTAACATTCTGACAAACATTGCAGTTGATATCTTCAAGGTGCACTGAGGGTTACGGCTAAAAGCCAAAATTATACATTAAACTCTAGCTACTATAACCAAAGGATAAGAATTATCATTGTTTACAGTTTTAAGATGACATAAGATTCAGTTAACTGCACAGTAATCATAGCTGTAACAAAAATACTCAACAAAAGGATTCTAGACAATATCATTTTTCCAGTATTAGGCTTAACTGAGACCCATTAGAGATATTACAAAATGAAATCTGTGCACTATTTCAGAATTATTTCCACACTTATTTTCCCCTTTTGGATGATATTTTAAGATACCTTTTACTACCACAATCAATAAGTTCATGGAATGGCTGCAAAGCGTCATTGCAGTGCACTACAGCAGATAGGTTGAGGCACGATATAATGCCCTGTCAGTTCATCTCTTGTCACAGCAAGAGGCAGTTGTGTGAAAACAGTGTAAGTAGAACTACAACCTGTATTGTGAACTGCAGTTAAATGCAAGTGGTGGAAATCGAAAATGTGGTAGTTTGAACAACAGGCTAACATCAAGTTCTGCCAAAAACTAGGTAAATCCCCTAGCGAAACATTTGGCATAGGAAGAATTGACTGTTGCTACACGTTAACGCCCCTTCACATCGCTCTGTTCTTGTCCAAGAGGAACTGACAAGGCAACAGGTCACCATTTTGCCATACCCTCCGTGCTCTCCTGATCTTGCATCATGCGATTTCGTTCTCTTTTGCCGCTTGAAAGCAAAGCTACGTGATCATAGATTTCAGTCGTCTGAGGAGGTGGTCATTGCCACAAGAGACGCCATACGTGAATTTCCTGCCAATATGTTTCAGAAATATTTTCGGCAGCTATATCAATGTTGGCAGACTTGCATACCAGCCACTGGCAACTATTTTGAGGGATGATGTGGATTTATATAAGTATATGTGACTACCTTGTAATATGATGCGATAAAACCACATTCCACGAACTTAATGACCCTGCCACATAGAACTATCCTATCAACCTGTTCTTTCAATTTTCTTCTATATTCTTTAAATTGTATTATTTGTGGCTTCTGTAGTTCTCTCACAATTTTTTCTTTCTTTTATGGTTTGAAATGGTGTATCTTGCAGTCCTGCTACAAAATATGAATAACATAAGATGCCTGGTACTTGGCAACTCTACTTGAAATTCCGTGCATGTGTAGACAACATAAATATTGTAAGATTTGAGGCTTTCACGGCGGTGACTATGAAGAAAGCAGTCTTCTGGGATTTGGCACCGTGTGTATGTGGTGTTAACCGACGTTTCGGAGGAACGTATCGCCTCCATCTTCAGGGTAGAAGAAAAAATATATAAGAAATCTGCAAGCGGAGAGACCGTGAGAACCGGTAAAAGCAGACTGTGTAAATATACACAGCTATGTGAGAGCAGAGAGGGAGAAGGGGGAAGGGCAACTATACAAGTGAAAGCAGTAGTGTGGGAGGGGTAGGGGAAGGGAGCTGGGACAAGCGTGGTTTTTGTGTAGGGGAGAGAAAGGCAAGGTTAAAGGCTGGGCACAACCCATAAGCTGAGGGGGGGGTTATGAGTTGTGCCCAGCCTTTAACCTTGCCTTTCTCTCCCCTACACAAAAACCACGCTTGTCCCAGCTCCCTTCCCCTACCCCTCCCACACTACTGCTTTCACTTGTATAGTTGCCCTTCCCCCTTCCCCCTCTCTGCTCTCACATAGCTGTGTATATTTACACAGTCTGCTTTTACCGGTTCTCACGGTCTCCCCGCTTGCAGATTTCTTATATATTTTTTCTTCTACCCTGAAGATGGAGGCGATACGTTCCTCCGAAACGTCGGTTAACACCACATATACACTGTGCCAAATCCCAGAAGACTGCTTTCTTCAACATAAATATTACACATTATAGTACACAGATTGAAAAGATTTGGAAAGGTGAATAATGAGAATGTTTGCTAAGATTCTACCCTAACAACAGCTGAATTAGTGCAGTGGTCTCAAACATGTGGCCCACCAGTTCATTTTATGTGGCCCTTGCACTGATATTTTAAACACAGAATGCAGCCTGCTCCACAACTGAATAGTTCATTGAATTGTATGCTTATTTATTTCTGTATAATTTTAGCTATTTGTAATGGTCTTATTTTATTCTATTTTGGGTTGTCTTGAAACAAACTAAAGATCAAGCGAGTTAGTATGCTGTGTCCTATAGACACAACTGTAAATGTAGAACTTTTGGATAGACACTTTTAAATTGCCTGTACTTGAGCTGCTGCTGCAGGCTTTTAAATTTCAGTCTCATATGGATGAAGTCATATTTTTCATCAGTGTTGATTAACCTTTAAGTGCCGAAGTGCCCCGTTTGTGCCAGTCAGGCATTTAAACTCAGCTAGTGGAAGCACGCGCACAGTCCTAACTCTTTATTTTTAGATGTAGTAATTACCAGACAGACTTGAGTAAAACCCTAAGAGAGGAATTAAATTGATACCTAAATGAACAACAGCAAATAAAAATATACGTATGAGTTATGCCAAAACTTATCCACGATCCAGTAATTTTATTGCAGATTCTGCAGATAGATTTGTTAAAAATATATTGTAAAATTCGATGTACATATCTTTTTTGTTGTTACCTGCTTGATGTATATATAGGCTGAAATTATACTACAGTATTCGATTTCACTATGAACGCACAGAAAACAGATCGCACTGTGTATCTTAGCCACGATGCAGCTGTCTGCTCATTCAAATAGAAGGGGCAATAAACTTTTGCTGCTCTAATGGAAGGTCTTAGCACTGAAGAAGGGACCCCTCTAGCTTTCTCTTGAATAGCGATGCTTTCATTCTTCTGTCTTTCAGTCAAAAGATTCAAAAATCCGAAGAGTGTAAGCAGTGCTAGCAGGAGACCAAATGATTTTATTGCTTCCATCTGTTTTATGACACGAGGGACTGCTAAAATTCGTCAAGTGTTACAAACAGAAATGAATTTATAATGCAGAACAACTCTGTGAAGAACTAGGAAACCATTTTTGTGATACGCATCAAAATTAAAAGAAAAAAAAAATTGAAAATAGAGCATAACACTTTGTATTAACAATTTCAAATCTTCCGTTATAATATGCGACACTATGTTCTTTGCTGATATAAACAAAGTTAATACCATCCATTTATCATAAAAATTGAGCAAGATACAGCATTTTAAAACACAACGCTTAAAAGTGATTAAGCTCCTAATAGGAACGGACATTTAAACGCAGAATAGCAACGGGCATTTAAACGCGCACCAGCATTGGGCATTTAAATAAACTCCGGCCAGCTCAAGCTTACCACTATTTCGAAGTCCGGCGTTTAAAGGTTAATATTAATTAAGTTAAATATTGTAAAAATGACTTCCTTAGAGTATTTTAGTGAGACCCGGTAAGATTGAGGAAAGCACACTTGCACATAATTTTGAGTGTGAATACAGATAATAAAGTTTTGTGAAGTATCATAATTGTTAAGGAAGAAAATGTATTTTAACTGAAATCTATATTACAGAAATATGTGGTTTTTCATAATTTTATTGAATTAAAATACCCAGGTGTTTGAGATTATGGTGCAAAATAGATTCAAATAGACATGGGAATTGAAATCTCTCCAGTAAAACCCTCACCAGAAGATACTCATCTCTTTCAACAGACTAACCCCTTTGTACCTGCATCCACTACTTATTCATTCCACCACAGACCCTGGAAACATACCTTAAGTAATTAAGTAATTGTATGAGGGGTCTTCTCTACTGTTGTCCAGAATCATAAAAATTAGAATGTACAAAACTATAATTTTGCATGTGATTCTGTGTGGGTGTGAAACTTTGTCTCTGACATTGAGGGAGGAACATAGACTGAGGGTGTTTGAGAACAGATTGTTGAGGAGAATATTTGAACTGAAGAGAGGTTGGAGAAAACTGC